AAGAAAGGAATATGGAACTCTTAAAATGATTTGAAACTTAGCAAGATTAAGTCATATTAGATGCTTACTCTTTAGCAATGTAAAAGAAACTTGTTAAATAAATTAGGCATAACCAAGAGCTCTTGTTTAAAAAATAAAAGATTTCTCATTAGATTATTTTTTTATTCTCATTTTAAAACTTTTGTAGGAATATACTAAGCAAACTAAACATGGTCGAGGGCTCACTATTTTTTTTTTAAAAAAACTATTGAGTAGTAATTATTATTCATAAAAAATGTTTTCATAAGAAATTTATGATTGAAAATCATTTGCAAGTGAAAATCAAATTAAAAATATTTGAGTGACATAAAATACTTATGAAAAGACATTATTAATAGATTCCCAAGGGATAAAATTTTTTATTATTGATGACAAAGTTTTATCAAATGAGTATGTTATCGGAGAAAATTATGTTAATAATTTGATCACTCTATTTTTTTTGTGAATCAATCCTCCACTTGTTGTAAATTAAATATAATATTTAAAAAAAGGATCTCTTATGTCTAAATATTACATATTATTTAAAAACACATTTTAACAATAAATAACATTTGATTAAAATAGAATGCAATTTAATATCTATTTAAAAACATTATGTATTTCTCTCCTCTAGTTGGCTCTCTTCTATCTTCTATAGTTTGCTTGACTTCTCATTGTCACTCCTTTAGTCTAAACTCACAAATTTTTGAATCATTATTTATTAGACTCAAAAATTAACATATGTTTATTTTATTGCACTTATTTAAGATCGATTTTCTCAATCAAAACATAGTTTCAAATATTTTATTATCTCACTCCTTGATAATCAAGATAGAATTAGGTGTCATGAGCTGTTCCAATGAAACCTAGCTAATTCATAAACACCAAACTATCTGCTTAAATATTCCATCATCTAACTGATCATGCGATTTTAAAATTTTAAACAATTAATGTTCATATTTCAATGTAATCATGCTTTAAGCTCTCTCAAATTTACTACCACTATTGATCTAATTACTCTGATTGGTGTGCTTGTATAACTCCATTATGGTGAAGTTTCATCATAGCATCTTCTTCTATAATTTTACCAAGTAACTTGAGAACAGATATTAAAAAAACTTATATAAAATATCACTTGATAACCTCATCAAATGCATTGTGTGTGGAATTTCTTTTTCCACACACACCTAACATATGCAAGACCTTGACCCCATGACCCCTTGTTTGAAAAAAAACGAAGCTCTCTGCCACTAGGCCAATGTTGCTTGAAAATATGTGTGGGGAGCTAAAATTCTAACATAAAAGGGTGATGTCCATGCCTCCATAACGAAAAACATGGTTGCTCTACTCAAATTTTCCTACATAGTTGAAATTTCCCTACTCAACACATAACCAGGCTTAAAAGTCCTCTCCAAAATCATTCTTAACAGCTTTCTAAATTTATGAATATAATTAAATTATCTTGCATACTTGTTGAGTCCAATCACTCATATTTCATCTTGATATAATCATTGTGTTAGGGAAACTAATAAAAGATTCTTTTATAATATAAAAAACCTTATTGATATCTCAAAATATATATTTTATAAAATATAATTTATTACTTCAAACTCATGAAATCACATTTTATAAACTCCATATGGTATCATCTTCCATAATACATAAGGTGCATCCTTGCTCATTATGAATATTATTTGATAAAATAAGATGCTTTCCAAGGTGGGTTAAACATTTATAATTTAATTTAATAAAATAAAAATCTATAACTAATTAATCATCTAAAGTCCATCTTATTCAAGACTTTTAATTCATCATTTGGCTTAAGATACTTTATGTGCAAAATAGATTTAAGTCACAACTTTACATGCTTTTAGCAAGCTAAAAATGAACAAATAAAATTTAATTTTTCTTATGCCCAATTCATTGATGAATCTAACCTAAAATTTGCTTTCTTTATCAACAAATTAGTTAATGAACAGACAAATCAAAAAAAGCTCAATATGCCAATGTGTTGGATGCATAAGAGTGAAAGAAGAGAAATAATAAGAAGTCTAGAGATAGAACCTATATATATATATATATATATAAGTTTACAATTGCAATATTTTATGACATATTATAGTTAAATCATATAAATAAAATTACATAAGATTAACAGATAACACTTGGTGTAAAAATGAATATGTTTTGTTGGATGAAAAATGTCTGCCAAGAGCACTCTCACTGCATGGGCATGCCATGCTGGTAGCTAAGACAAAAGAGCAACTTTATTTGTCTAAGATATATGGCCAAACATACTCTTTTCCGAGGACTTCAACATAACCAAAGATAATTAGATGAGGTGAGTCAAAGATTACAAATTTATTCCAACCTTAATAATTTGTCGAATCTAATTCAAATTTTGCCATATAATTTCATACATTTAATAAAAAGAGATAATTACATGCAGACCGCCCGAAACATTGATATTCTCAAATTGATTAACCCATGTGATTTTCTTGAACTACCGAACCAATGTATTTACACATGCCAGGATCAATCAATTGAAAATTTGATATAAATGACAAATATGGATTGGGGTTTTACCATGAATTTTGACATTTGAGCGAGAATTGGAACAATGGACGAAATGGCATGATTGATTTGTAAATAACAAGTTTCGAGTGATTCGTATGTAATTGTCCCTAATAAAAAATGCACAATTCCTATATATTTCCAAGTTATCAATTACAACATAATATCAACCATCAAAAATCTACATTTACATACCCATCACACAAATCTTATATATTTATATATTTAACATCTAAAATTTGATATTCACATTTATAATATCGTGATGTTATAAACATACATAAAAAGATACATTTGTAATTATATATTTTATGTAATGTTAAAGATTTGAGTACTATGAATACAAATTTTAAAATTTAGAGGATAGATATGTAAATATGTAAGAACTATGAAGTGTGTATGTAAATGCCCCTTTTTTATATTTGAAAAAAAAAAAAAAAAAAAAAAAACAAGTCATGTGAGCTAGAGAATCCCAACCAAAGTTAAGCAAACAGTCCTATTAGTGGGAGGCAGTCAAATGGGTCCCACATCTGAAGGCATTATTGGCCAAGTGGACGAATAATTCCAATTTATTCAATTTTAAATATAATAACCACAGCTGGATACAGCTGAGCTGAGCCGGCTGCCGGCCCGCCATTGTGGACCGTTACACCGAACCGCTTTGGTGATTTGACTGTAATTAATGTAATTGGCTCTGATTTTGAGGAACAAATCACGGCCGTTCATCTAACAATTGGAAAGCGTGGCGTACCCACCCACTCACAATCATCCACGTGATTCAATTACTGCGGCGGGCTAAATCAGTTTTGGCGTTTCATTAATCACTTTAATTTTTTGGGGCATTACATACATACCACCTCAAGATCTATAGATACACACACACACACACAGAGATATATATATATATATAATGAACCCAATAGTTGAAATTACTGCAGGTGGATGACTAGATAGTCGAGTCTTCCGTCTAATAAAAAGAGATCCGATGAATAATGGCACTTCTGTAAATTTTTTTTTAATGGGGCAATTACATACATTTCACATAATTCCTATATATTATAATATCAAACTCCTAAACTTGTTTATTTACATTCACAGCACATCAAAAACATCATTATAATTTTTAATGGTGAAATACATATTTTCAAGCATATGTTTACAACATCAAAATCTTACAAATAAAAACATGAACATTTAGGCGTAAGAGATGCAAATACAAAAGACTTCTTGTGTGGTATGCATGCAAATTTCCTTTTATTTACATGCCCAAGTAATGAATTTGGCATCCACACAATATTTTGTTTTACATGGTTTAACGCTACCGTTGTCCTTTAAAGCCTCACTTGTTCAACTGAGACATATTCTAACGAATCATATCATGTGCTCTCTTCAAAATTTATTTCAGCTTGAAGGGCCTATTCTTAGGCTGATAATGATAATAATATTTATAATATTAATAACGACAAAATCAAGTGCTTTTCTAAAACAGGATTTGCTCAACTTACGATTCTATTGATGAAGCGCATCTGAATTATGGCAATTTGATTTTTTTTGTATTTTGTTTGAAGAGCTCCTGCCATTTAGGTCTGACAACTGGCTTGCTTCTTATGCTCAGATGCTAGTTACTATACCAGTTGGAATTAAAAAAATAAAAAAATAAAATAAAAATTTACATACAGACCTCTCAACTTCTATGTATTTTCATATTTACCACCTTCAAGAAGGTTTATTTTTTTCCCTACAATCACACAGCACCCAATTCTCTTACATGTACTTACACATCTCACAACTACGCTTTCATATTTAGACAAACGACACTTAAATCTTTAATATCACATCAAAAGTTGTACTAAGATCACTTCTTAAAAGTGAAATAGAACATTTTATGCAAAAGTTTAAGACAACAAAGTATGATGCATATAAATATGAAAGTTAAGGAGTGAGAAATGTAAAAGCATAACAAGTGTGTGCTACTTGCGTAAATTCCTCTTTTTCTATGAAAAAAAAACAGAAATCAGCCAAAATTTAGGCCCTTCAAGTTAATTTTGCGAGCTCATTTAAAAAGGAAAATAAATGACTATATATGAATTCAATGTGAACACGTTAAATAAAGTTTTAATGGCTCAAAATGTCTATAAAAATATATTATCATGCTCTTCCAAGTTTTATTTTATCAACACCTGCGCCGTGGGATTTTGGTTCGTGTAGTAAATAAGAAGATAATGTCTGCAAATTTGGCCACGGATTATCCACATGATGGAGTGCAGGCATTAAATAATAACATGACCAAAGGCGGAACAAAATTGCGCCACAAGAGTTGAAATAAATATTTAATAATTTTAGGGACATTTACATACACACCCCCTCCCCCAATTCCTATGTAAAGGCGGCATGTATATAAAAATTAAAGTTTAGGGTTAGAGATGTAAATACATAGGAGTTGAGGGTTATGCATGTAAATCTTCCATAATATAATCACCCTCTAGTATCTCCTGAGACAATCTTCAAGAAAAGATGCTAAGAAATTTGACCTCAACAAGTAAAAATGAAAAATTACAATTTTATATAACGACCCAATGATCAAGAGATTCTATGGATTAAACAATTCGGGAATTGCAGGGGGGTGAGGCATAGAAATTCAAAAACCCACTTATGCCTTGTATTGAACAATTACAAAATTGCAAGCATGTCTTGCCTGCCCAAGAGTTGGGCACCATTAAGTATGTACTCACCGAATAAATGGTCCAACATGATGGAACCGATGCTATATATAAATATCTGCGAGCAGATTCCAGCTCTTCCCAAACTAGCACAAAAGACCAAAACATGTAGGCATGTAGAGGCGTTTGATTAATCATTATGTTCTGCCAACAGCACAAGCCCGTAAGAGCAAATCTACCTAACATTTATCCAAAATGAGAATTTGTTTAGGATAAAAATGCAAAATAAATCAGCTAATGGATCAAGGGTCTATTTGGGGGGGTGGGGGTTTTGGGGGCGGCTAAATGCAAGGAATAGTTGTGGAACTCCTGATGAAATTGGATTTTTTAGATTTTTTAAGTTTTGGCTCCATAAAAAGAGTTGCTTCCCACAATTTTTTGAAGGATAATTTTCATAAATACCACACAATTCTTATTTGTTCAAATCTAACACCTAAACTTCAATTTCCATATTTCTCACCTTAACTATGCATGAAAATGTGTATTTCACTTTTTAAAAGTTAAAATAATGACATTTTTTCATGTGATATATGAAAGATTTGGCTCGTATAAAAGTAAAAAAGTAAAATTTATGTGTTAGATATTTAAATACATAGAAATTGGATGGTATGTATGTAAATGCCTCTTTTTTTAAAAAAGAAAAATGTACACACAAGAGTTGCCAAAATGAAAGCAAAGCAATGGAACTGCTTGTTATAAAAATCAAAGCAGTGAAAAAATTGCCCAAACTGACCTAACTTTAAGTTCAGCTTTTGACCAACAGCAACTGAGCTCTCTGTTGGATTTCTCTGAGCAGACTAATAGTAGAAGACAGAGAATTCATCCCCTGCTTCCAGGTCTCTGCAACATGGATCAAATCTTGAATGACAGAAATTTCTTTATGTTTTAGGGCACTTCGACCATGTTGGCGATTATCAAAAACACCCTCAAAATCATTTGATTTTTCCACGGATTTCTGAAGAACTGAGGAAGGTACCCCTATCATACTCCAAAGCAAATAAGTTTCAATTAGGAAACATAAACATCAAAAATAAAATTAAAGCAAGATTTGCATACATATCACTTAATTCCTATGTATTTACATATATAACAATTAAACTTCATATTTTACCTATGTACCACCTTACCTATGCATGAAAAGGCGTACTTCACATTTTAAAAGTTAAAATAATACTATTTTTTATGAGACACAGAAAAAAGTAAAATCTAGCTATTAGAAATGTAAATGCCCCACTAAAACATGGCTGAGGGATGCTATACCAGCCAGACGAGCAACATTTACACCATAGCTTTTGGGACAAGAACCAGGGGTCAATCTGTAAAGGAACGTGACCTCTTCCATGCCATCTAACCCATTTCCCACTTTACAGGCCATATGACACACAGATACCTGAAAATAGAACGGAGAATCCACAATCATTATGGCTCAAACGAAGGCATAATATTTGACATCACAAGAACAAAAATATTTATTACTTTCGGGTTTTTGGCAAAATCTGCAGCTAATCGGTGGTAATGAGTAGAGAACATGCCCCTGCATTGAGTCTCATGAACCAGATACTGTAAAACAGATCCAGCAATTGCTTGTCCATCAGAAGTCGATGTTCCGCGACCGAGTTCATCGAGTGCTACAAAGGAATGTCCGGTCGCTGATGACAACACAGATGCTGTTTCCGAAAGCTCAGTCAGGAATGTACTTTGGCCGGTGATAATGTGGTCTCTTGCTCCCATGCGAACAAAGATGCGATCAACTGGTGAGAGCTCAAAGCTCTCTGCTGGAACATCAGCTCCAATCTAAACAAAACCAAACCATCACATAAAGGCCAAAAGCCCCTTTGGCATCAATTTTAATTTCTATGTTTATTTGCATTTTTCCTTTTATTTTAAAAAACGTGCTTGCTTTTGTGTATTTATTGTATACTTTTATTTTAATTAATTTGTTTTTAAAAAACTCTAAAAAATTTATGACAGCTGAACATATTTTGTTTAAATCAAAACATAAATAAAATGAAAATGAAAAACAAAAACTAAAAAACAAAAGATAAAAGTGATCCCAAACAGCCCCTAAGTTAATTGGAATTTGCAAATCCACACAAAAGTAATTGCAAATCAAACGCAAAAAAGGTTACCTGTGCTAGGATTATGGACATGCAAACTTGACGAAGAAGGGTGGATTTACCGCCCATGTTAGGGCCCGTGAGAAGGATAAAGCTGGCATGTTCAGTTCCGCCAATACTCACATCATTGGGAACGAAGGAGCGGTCTCCCAAAGAATCAATGCGGAGAGTAGGATGTCCTAAGCTTTTAGCAAATAAGAAGGGAGTGATGCTACTCTCTGAATCCTTTATTTCATTGATAATCGGCCGACATGTAGGTCCATCATAATAGTCGCTAGCAATTGCGAGACTGATTAAGACATCTAATTCTGCAAGATGTCCTCAGTTAGGTTCATAAAAATAAATTTACAAAAAAAAAAAAAAAACAGAGAGAAATAGGCTACTAGAGCTGGCGGATATGAAAATGGTTGCTTCACAGAATCCAAACCATAAAAAAAGGGCTTTAAGACAACCATTGAGCTGGCCAATATTTTTTAAAGGTCAAAATGCAATCAGACGCACAAAGATTCCTTCTTTGATTCAATGCAAAAAGGTGCAAAATAAAGTAGTGGAATTACTAACTATATTGCTCATGATTACTTGATTTGCCAAACCTAAATCACAACAATTAATAGTTTTCAACAAATAGAATAATGCATTTAATAAAAAAAAAAATTTAACTATTCGAAATCCAAAGAAAACGTACTTATAAAGAATGAAGTTTTGAAAATAAAAAAGAAATCATGAAATTTAGTTAGAGACCAACTAAAAACTGATGAGTGGTGGAGACGGTGTTAAGTGAGGAAAAAATTAGTCACCAAGAAGCTTCTAGACGATACACCAAGATACATTCTCAAAAAATTGTGAGAGAGAAGCTACTAACACTAGTAGCCAGAAGAATTTAAGAATACTGGTAGCCTGGCGAGGAGAACTTGTAATAAAAGAAAGCTAAAAAAATAAAAAAAATTATAAAGAAATAAAAAGAATAATAAAAAAATAATAAATAAACAAATAAGTTTTTATTAAATAGTTTAAAATAAGCTTTTCAATTATAATTGCATATTGAAGTCTGAAATGACATAAAAGATTGGAGGAAAATAAATTACATATGAAGGTACATTTTAAAGAATTAAGTCATACAAAATTACCCCAAGTCGTGTTGGAAGAAGATGTGATGTACCTGTGCATGTTAAATGAAATGATAAAAGTGTACGTTCAAGTATAATTTGATGGCACCTTCGGGTACATTTTGATGATACTTTCAAGTACATTTTCAGAGTAGCTTCGGACACATTTTTTTTTAGGATACCTTCGGGCATGACGGTAATCCTATTATGACTATTAAAGAAATTAAAATGATAAATACTTGAAGTGAAATGGGAATGAGTAAAATTAAAATGAAAGTTTAAGTTTTCATAAAATAGTGAGCCGTATTTTTTTTATCATTCATGCATGGTATAAGCATCATAGTTTAATGAGAATAAATATTATAATTACTCACTAAGTCAATTTCATAATTGAAATTAATATTCTCTTTCAAGAGAAAAAAAGTTTTGGGTTGATATGTCTGATAGGAGAGATTTGGTTTACAAGGAGAAAGACTGCAACTAATAGTTACTAGTTATGATATGTTTGTAGTTTTCTTTAACTGTTTCCTCATATATTGATATATTGTTCAATACTGATTTGAAATGTGATTTTCAAATTATGTTGTTGTTTTTTGATGTTTAATTGTGTCATACTTTGTAAATTAGTGGCTCTTTTATATATTAAAAGTTTCTGAGAAATTTTGTGAGAAGTGAAATGAAATGTTAATACCGTAAACCGCAATTCTCGCCTCAGTTAATTCTAAGCACCAGACCGGGTCGTAACAGAACTACCGAGAAGCAACTAACACTAGCAAGAAACACCATAGAACTAGCAAATAATGACTCAAAGACTACGATAGCCAATGATGGGACGTGAGCATTCTTGCCTCCTAATTATTGTGTCAAATGCTAAACAAAATCTCAAAATCTAAATAGAGATTCATTTTGAATCGAGGCAAAATATGTGGTGCTATGACATTGTGCAATGTGGCATGTGCTTGTTGCCATTAGATCGTGTGTCACAACCAAATAATGCACAGAACCATGCATTACTTCACTTGGCTCTTAAGCAAACTTTTAACAACTTCGGTGCTAACAAATAAATTTCAATTATCAGGGCAACCAGATACTACACCAAAGAAACGAATCTTAATTTAAAAATGCAGAAATAACTGGAAGATGAATTGCTTACAACATGGAAGTTGTCATTATAAGAAATTTTAAGATCAAAGAAATTTAACCTAGTGTATGTGTCCAAGCATATAATTGTCAATAACAAGAACGTGAATATTAAGTAAAAGTGTATGGTCTCCCTATCTGAAAATATAACAAATCACCTGCAACGACGGAAACTAATTGTCTCCATTTGCTATGGTGCTCACTGAATTGCTCCATCAGCTTCAACAAAATTCCATGCAATTTAGATTCTTTTTCAGCTTCTGCTCTTGACAGTTCCGATATATACTTCTTAATGTCTGCCGTCCAGTATCTAAAAAATCCCTGCAAATAAAAAGTTTTGATAAGATGACAGAATTAGACAACGTTTTTTGCAAGAAAAAAAACCATAAATACATCAAGGAAAAAAAAAACAAATACAGCAAGAATGGAAATTGAACGCAGAAAATGACAATAATGTTTAGAAACATTAAAGCACAAATGATAAGAGCAAAGAAGCTTGTTTGAATAGTACATGATCGAATCACTGCTTCATCGTACAGATTTGAAACAAAAATGCTAACCAGATCAAAGATCTGCTATAACAATTAGCATCACTAATATTCTAACACGTAGAAGTTTTGGACATCATCATATCCATGCAGCAAAAATATCTCGAACTCCACATTGAAACCAAAAAGACTTCGATACCTGGTACCAAAGTTAAGTCAATCAAAGTAAATATTATTACTAAAAGCAGATATATGATTAGAACCAAAAATACTTGAAACGGGGAGCAACAATAGACGTGACACAAAGGCGACCCCACAAGAGGTTGATCTAGAGGTGGTGGTGGTTGGTTACGTGGAGTGGACAGCACGGTAAGGGGACGGAATGGTGGTAGGGGTGGCGGTGGGCAGTAATAGCAGCAATCCAGGGATTGTGGGGTTGTTGTTTGGGGATGACAACAAGCCTAGGCGGCAGACAGCGAAATGACAGCAATCAAACAGCAGGGGGGTGACAGCAAGGTGAGCGCTTGTTTAGGAAGCAGCGGCAGGGCAAAGGAAAGGGAGGAGGGTTGATTTTGGAAGGCAACAGCAGAGGTGTGTGGAGTACAGTAGAGGTGTGTGGAGTTCTAGAAGGGGGGCAACAAAGTAGACTGCAGGAAACAGCTATAAGGGATGTCCGGTGGCTGCAGCAGAGGAGGTAACGAGGAGGCGGCTGGGTGGTAGGAGGCTGGTAAGATGGTTGGTGGTTGGATGGCAGAAGGCTATAAGGTGATAGTAGGTTGGGAAGGGTGGCAGGAAAGCATGGGGGCTGCAGAAACTACGCAGGCACCGTTCTTCAGGACCGGAGCACCCACTCGTCATTAGATACAACCCTAGAAAGGGAAATCAAAGACGCAGATGGTTGTCTTGACAGAATACATGTCAAAAACTGAGAATCCAAACCCTAATACAACGCATATGTAGGAAAGAACTGGGAGGAAGGATAAAAGAAAATGTGTTGAAAATTGTAAAGAAATCGAAAGAAGAGCCGCTCAATTCGGCTCAGCATCATTTGCGTGACCCGGATGCCAGGTCTAGTCTAGGTAGTAGTAGACACCTGCACCAATCTCATGGGGTTGAGGAAGCTTCAAACTCATTAGTTGAAGCTTTTGTCTCCTTAAAGTATGGCGTCAGGTAGACCATGTTGAAGATAGCGGAAATGACACAATATCCTAATAAGTCAGTCATGTAGGTGTTGTCATTCTGAAGCACATCCTGGTAAAATAAGTATTTATCCTCTTTTGGCACAAACTGAGCTAGTGTTGCATATCGACATAGATTTTTATAAAGCAACTCCCAAGCCATTAAATTTATAATTTTCCTCTTACACTCATCATGCTCGGCAGGCACATCTGATAAACAAATTCGTCAAGAAAAACTAACTCTAGATTGAAATCTATGGCAGAATGAGCAATTCTCAATAACAAACACTCAAGAGATGTCTCCTTCTTCTATTAAAAGAACTGGATCCCAATGTAGAATATTCTTTCCCGCAAAACTCCTATGGCAATTTCCAACACTGCGGGTCATCCCTCATGTCTAACCATTTGTCTGTGGGTATACTATTGAACTGAATTTAATACCCAACTGACCCCATATGATCTTCCAAAAATAGTTCAAAATATTCTCATATTTGATATGTTGGATCTCCCTTAGCTGAGGCAACTCAGAAGGTAAACTATTTATCTAAAAATTTTAAAATTCTCTTATATGAGCCTATAGTGTGTCCGATATCAACTTCTCAAACACATGACCTTTTGTACTTCTCATGTCAATCCTGTTGATGCTCCTCTCAATGACTGAAAAAAGTAGTTTGAAGTACCACAATCTCATACTCTGCATGAATGCTCATTATCTCAGACTCTCTCATCTAGAACAACTATTGTTAACCCCGTCAAATTATCTCTCATGGGCTCAGCTCGAATTACATGTATCTCTCCCACATCAGTTGGCAACTAGTACCCCTCTTTTGTGTCATCACTTTCTTCAATATATACAATATTATTGTTCATTTCTTCAACTGCTCCCTGTTAGATGAAATAGACTGTACTCTTGTTTGGCCAATCTGATGCACTATGCCCAAAATCTTGGCACTTGACACACTTTCTGGCTGCGAAAAATTTGTGAATGTTGTTAGGCTCCACATGTTCTCCACTTTGAATTAGTTTCTTCTCGGGAGAGGTCGACTTGGATGTTCCCCTCAATGTACTCCGACTACAAGATCATAGGGTTGAACTCTGTCTGTAAGATGTTGAGGTATCCGGTGATGTTTTACACTTTTGAAGCTAGGGTCTGAACATCCTATCTATAATGAATTGGTAGATACTGTCACTATATCTTTTGTCATAGACTAGGTAATAATTTTACTCTTTCATTCTTGTTGTCTAAGAATCTTCAAATTCTCCTATCATAGATACACATTCTTCTTTAACTTGTTAGCGATCAGTTTCATAATTATGTCCGGTGAGACGTTGATACAAAAAGACACATTCTGCGGTCTAGAGTCACTCAATGAACTCGTCGAGATCCATGTGGAGATCAAACTATGATAATTTCATCTTTACTTAAGATCCTGACTTTTTGACATTTTATGAAAAATCTTCAGGGTAGTGGTTCCTCTTTGGAATCTATCTTGTGGAAGAGATTTACTGCAGTCTTTCGATCTGGTAAGAAATTGTTATGGCTACGGGTGACCCTTTTGAATTGCCTCCTCTAGAAGAAGGTAAGCCTCTGTTGCAGTTGGAGGATGATACATCTCGGAACCAAAATCAGCAAACAAACTATGACGAAGCAAAATAGATAGGTGGAAAAAACAGAAACTAGGCCTGCTCATACAAGTGATCAAAGGAAACAAGAAATATACAAGGTTGATTTACTATTCAAGAGGTAGATCGTCTCTTCCACACCCTAGACATCGCTAGGAACACCACAAGAAGAAATAAAACAACAGTCACAACAAAACATGCATAAAAGAAAACAAACACTAGGTTTTTCCCCTTAAAGAATCCCCCCATAGCCTTTTGAAAACATTTTTTTCCCACTTTCCCTCCAAACCTAATTTAATTTTCCCTCGTGGACCCAAAACTCTCCCCGCCTTCTTCTCCTACGACAAAATGCAGCTCCGCCTCGTCGCCGGAACAGGATTGACCCGTCTGTGGGTTTAGCTGGCCATCGGGAGGGCATTCGACCGGCCACAGTGGGAGGGTGCATTCGATCAATCCCTCCTAGATCGGTCCCATGATGGGCAAAACATTACTCCTCTGTCAAAGAAGTACCTTGTCCTCAAGGTGGAAGGATGAAAACTACTTGTGGATCACATTGTAAAGCTCCCATGTTACTTCATAGTGTAGCAATCTTTTCCACTTAACCAATACCTCCTGCGTTCCCCCTATTCCTCGGCGCACTCCTTCAATTTCTAACAGCTCCAGAATCACCTACAAGTCCTCCGAAGCGTTGGCGGTAGTGTAGATAAGGGTGTGTGATCTCCAATTGCACGTCTTAGTTGCGATATATGGAAGACTGGGTGTAGTGCGGGCGATGGTGGTGACTTCAAACGATAGGCCACTACCCTGAAGTTTGCCATCACCTCATAAGGCCTAAAATATCGCGGTGACAGTTTCTCGCTTATCCTCCTGGCCAATGTCTTTTATCGGTAGGGCTTCAGTTTCAAGTAAACCATGTCTTCTGATTCAAATTGCATCTCTCCTGTGTTCGTTCGCCTTCCTCTTCATAATTTGTTAAGCTCTCGGTAAATGCTCCTTAAGCTCTGTTAGTATCCTATTCCTCTCCTCCAAGTACTGATAGACGTTTAATATCAGTGTGGTACCATGCCCATAATGCAACAAGTTAGATGAGTCCCGCCCATACAATATCTTGAAGGGAGTGGTCTGTGTGCAGTGTGATACGAAGTATTGTACCAATATTCAACCCATGTAATCCACTTATCCCATAGCTTTGGTGCATCGACTACAAAAAGCATGTATGTTTCCACACTCCTGTTGACCACCTCCGTATGCTCATCGGTCAAAGGATGATATGCGGTGCTTCTTTTAAGAACTATCTCTTGCAACCCGAATCGCTCCTTTCAGAAGTGGCTGAGAAACACATTGTCCCAATCCGATAAAATCGATTCCAGCACCCCATGCAAATGGAACGCTTCACGAATAAACACCGCCGCGATTGAGACCACAGTGTAAATATGTTGCAAGGAAATGAAATATGCATACTTAGGCGGTCGACGACCGCCATGAACACCATGAACCCTTTTGACTGTGGCAGCCCCTCGATAAAATTCATCGTCACTTCTTCCCAAACCTTCCTCAGTAATGTTAAGGTTGTAGTAACTCTCCTAGTGTTGTGCTCAAGTACTTGTGTTGTTGGGACGTGTCACATTTTGCTATCATGTCCTCCACATCTCTGTGCATCCCTATCCAATAAAGTTCTGCTCAAGAAGAATGTTTGTACCCCTAAATGTCCCCCGATCGCACTGCCATTAAACTTCTGTAATAATCTGAGAATATACTCCAGTTTCTAGGGTAGCACGAATCGCCACTGGTGGAATAGTTGTTATCCCCTCAATGCATATCCTGGATGATTGGTTGGATCCTATAGTAACTCGACTCTTATCTTCCTCAGTTCCTCACCCCTTTCGCTCTCCTGTCTCAAGGCTTCCGAATCTAGAACCAAGGGTACTGACAGAACATTTAATTGGGGTTCCTCCACTTTTATCGACAGTGCGTCAGCTACTTTGTTCTCCAATCCCGATCGGCACTGAATCTTAAAATCATAGCCTTATAG